AAAAAAAACATACATTAATTGTTTCACTTCTTAATGAGAAATAGATTTCTTTAATGATTTCACTTCTAATTAATCACATCGAAAATAAGGAAAAATTGGTTCATAGTATTGAAAACCATGATTTCAAGTTTATTAAATAAATATTTTAAAAATTTAACATTTTCATAGACATAAAGAAATAAATAAATAACTCGAAACATAATTTTGAATTTGGATCCATAACCAAATTCCAAACTGATTTATATTTGTCAAACAAAAATAATAATTAATTAAAAACATTATTAGTTTTTAAAATTATTACATTAAAATTAAAATTTAATGTTATATCAAAATATGTTTAAATTAATGAAATTAATTATTAATACTAATCAATTTCAAGTTTTCTTAAAAATATTTTTATTCACTAACTTAGTATCTTATACTTAAAATTTGTTTTATATTGACATCAATCCCAAACATATTTTTTAATAATCTTAAAAATATATTAATTGAATAAATAAATTTAATTTTCCAAATCTTTCTTTAAATTATTAATATTAATATTTTAAATACATTAAAAGAATATTCAAATAGTAGTATTCCTCAGATCCGATATTTCATTTTGAATAAATAGGAAATAGATAAAAAATGCTAAATCTTTGTTTCTAATAATAAACTAGTAATTCTGTTATATATCTATTATTCTACTATAAATAACTGAAAAAAGCGTGTTGAAGAATTAGACATCCTCATATGTTTGGTGCAAAGAGTTTCTCTTGTTTTACAGCAATGGCTGCAGCATTGGTTTTTATCCTTCTCAATGTGGCTATGGTTTGCCATGGAGGCAAAACAAGTTCTTTCATAAGGAAGGTCGATAGAGCTGAAGACATGCCCCTTCACAGTGATGTATTTGCTGCCCCTTCAGGCTACAATGCTCCTCAGCAGGTACTCTTCTTTTCCTCCTATAAACATCTCATATATTAGGTTCCCACATCTCATTTTTTTTGTTTATATGATGAACCTTAGGATTTTCAATCTCAAATTAGGTTAAAATTGAAAAAGATCAACACTGCATGATAAAAACGACTCACAAAGTTTATTGTTTTTAGTTTTGTTTTTGGTTGAAAGTGAATAAAAAATCTTAAATTTAAGTGTTTTTTCAGATACAGTTTCATCCACGAGTAAGAGGTTCGATTCTATTGAGCTCAAATTTATCAAAATTGACTCTTATTCTTTTTTTCGATCTATATTTATACCTGTTTCAAACTAAAATAAATAATAATGTTCATACCAAAAAGTTCCAATGTAATTTGTACCATTTTTTTTCAAATTTTACTTAACATGCAGGACTAAATCAAATTAGTATATATATAGTTGGGTTGAGTATTTTTTTGTAAACTCTAAACTGATAATAAACAGTTCAATGAACTTAGTATTTGAGAAAACTTAAATATCATATTAGTATTTGGATTTTGATTTAGTTCAACTCTAAAAGTTTGTTGATTGAGTGAAGATTGTGAATACTGGGCATCCGTTCATGTGGCATTAATTCATGTGCTTGATTTGAAACAAACTAACTTGTTTTTGTCTTTTGTTTTGCAGGTTCATATAACAATAGGTGACCATGTGGGAAGTGCCATGATCGTATCATGGGTGACCATGGACGAACCAGGAAACAGTTTAGTGCGATATTGGAGTGAGGACAGCCCACACAAGAAGGAGTTAGCCAAGGGACATCATGTTACCTATAGATTCTTTAATTACTCCTCTGGTTTTATTCATCACTGTACCCTTAGAGAGTTAGAGGTAAGAGATCATTATGGTTATTCCAGATAGAATTATTTGTTCATTGAATTGACCACGTTTTAGGAGTACCACTGTTAACTCAACTTTTTCATTTTCTCAGTTCAACAAAAAATATTATTATGAGATTGGAATGGGTCATACAATAAGACAATTTTGGTTTATGACCCCTCCTGAAGTTCACCCAGATACGCCTTTTACATTTGGTCTCATTGGTAAGTTTATGTTCTCTCAAAACTATAACGTTTGTTTGCTTTACATAGACTTTAGTGAACTATAATGTTAATACATCGAGGTTTAAGAATGTCGGTTTATTTTACATGGTGGAGCTTTTGTTTGCAGGGGATCTAGGCCAAACTTATGATTCAAACAAGACCCTTGCTCACTATCAATCAAACCCTCACAAAGGGCAAGCTGTGTTATTTGTGGGAGATCTCTCTTATGCAGACAATCATCCAAATCATGATAATGTTAGATGGGATACATGGGGAAGATTCGTAGAAAGAAATAATGCTTATGAACCTTGGATTTGGGCTACAGGGAACCACGAACTTGACTATGCTCCTGAGCTTGTAAGTTTTCTACTCTTTTTTTTTTTGTATATAATGATGTAATGAGTTCAGGACCTAAGACTTCATTAAACCAAACATCTACCCCTAAATGTACTGCAGTAAGTTATTTCTCGGGATTATTTGAATTTAATTTTATCCACAAAGTCGTTCCTCAAATTAGAAATTATGACTCCCATGTTATGCTGCTTCTACCAAGTGCAAATTTTAATTCAGAAGCAAATCCTAAAGGCCAAAATTGATGATGCTTTTCAGGGTGAAACGGAACCTTTCAAGCCTTTCCGCCACCGTTACCATGTCCCTTACAAGGCATCAGGAAGTACTGAACCCTTTTGGTATTCTGTCAAGATAGCTTCGGCACACATAATAGTTTTGGCTTCATATTCAGCATATGGTAACTATTTTAAGCACCCTTTTCTCTTGACATTACCTTTTAATGTTCAAGTTTTGCTTAGTGTTTATAACGTACAAGTTTTACCTGTATGTTTCATATATTCACCTTCTCTGCACTAATGTAATTTTCCTTTTGCAGGTACATATACTCCTCAATATGAATGGCTTCAGGCAGAGCTAAAAAAGGTTGATAGAAGCAAGACCCCTTGGTTGATTGTTCTTGTGCATTCACCATGGTATAATAGTAACACCTATCATTACATGGAAGGGGAAACCATGAGGGTAGCTTTTGAGTCTTGGTTTGTGAAGTACAAGGTTGATGTTGTGTTCGCTGGTCATGTCCATGCCTATGAACGAAGTGTAAGTGCTACAAATTGTCCCCTTTCATCAGATGACATGCATTTAATCTAAAAATTGAACAATCATACGCAGTTTATGATTAAACCGCAGAATATTCTAACCACAATTATTTTTATGCACTCTGCATCAGGAACGTATATCCAACATTGAATACAACCTTGCTAACGGTCGATGTGGACCTACGAAGGACCTGTCAGCTCCTGTATACATAAACATTGGTGATGGAGGGAACATTGAAGGCTTAGCATTGAAGTAAGCTTTTCAGAAATTTTCTTCCTGCATTAACGACTTAATTCTCTTCTGTATGAGGTTTAGTTTGATCGCTGATGTGTGTATTTTCTCTGCACTGCAGCATGACAAATCCACAACCTGAGTACTCTGCATATAGGGAGGCGAGTTTTGGGCATGCCATTTTCGAAATAAAGAACAGAACACATGCTCACTATAGTTGGCACCGAAATGAAGATGACGTTGCTGTTACAGCTGATTCCATGTGGTTTTTCAACAGATTCTGGCATCCTGTTGATGATTCCACAACAAAGTGAACCAATCAAAGCTTATAGTAGCTGTTAGAATGCGGTTATTTTACAATCGGTTGTTAGTTGGGATTGGAAAAGACATGTATATTCTCAATTAAGAGTAGTTAGGCCTTGTAGAAGTTCTGCAACGTCCGAACTTTTCAGAAAATTGATTTTGTTTTTGCTATTTTTTCTAGTTAATGCACTTTCGTTATTGAAATAAATTCAATTTTTTGTCTCATTTCTGTTTCCCATGTTTCAATTTTCTTTTCTTTAATATAAAGTCTGACGGTTTCTAAATTAGGTGACTATTTCTTTTAGAAGTTGATTTGGGTATTTATTTAAAAAGTGCTTGTGTGTAGATGTTGGAAAAAGAGTTCAAACAATTTATGGTGTTTACTATGCCCTAAATAAATGCTCATATGGTGGAAATGAGGTATTTTGAAGTGGTCTATCTGCCAATGGAGAACCTATTGGGTGCCTGTTATAACTCCAACTACATAGAAACAAGAAATGTTCAATATTTACTCATGTCATCATGGAGATGGGCCAACTACATCATATTGTATATTGAACATCCTCATTTGTCACTCAATTGATCCTGTGATATGTTTTGCCGGTCTGTCCTATGAGGTTTATTGACCTTAAATAAATGCTGGTTTCCAAGTGAATTTGCAACATGATTAAAAACAGTAATCAAAAGATTCTCATCTCCTATGCTTTTCTTACCTTTCTCTTGTTCAGAAATCACAGGCTTAAGTTATGAATACAGAACAAATCTGGCCTTGTGAAGAACTCAAAACCACATATTATTATTAGTATCTGCTACCACAACATATCCTGACAAAGTGAATAAAGAAAACTGCCCAGTTGGATCTAACGTCAATGAAATCAGAACAACCATGACAAGGATACACAGCAAGGCCTAATTGCACACCATCTGAATTAATCACAAAGAATGAAAACTATCATCAAACAAAGCAATAGTACACTCATATGTCAATAGCTTAAGTTTTGTCTAACTTAACATCACCAGTTTTTGTTTTATGCACCAAATTTTCAGCTTTCAACGGACAAGTATCTGATCATTCAACTGCAAAAAGATTGAAACCAGAAGCTTCATAAAGAATATAGAATAATCTAATTTCATTGGATTGTCAAACTCGATTATACAAACATCCAAAGAAAAAAAGAGGGAAAAAAAATGAAAATCAAGCCATGGACATGTTGGAGAGTCTACTAGGGGTTGGTCTGAAATTCAACCATCTAAGTCCTAAACGTTTGGGTGGTGTCAGTGCTCTCCTCAGGATCTCTTTGCTCGCCACACGTTTCTTCTTCTCCCCTGGCACTATGTACCCGTGACGCGCGCACCGAACCGAACCAGGGCGGTTCGTGCAGGTGCAGGCCGGTCTGGACCGTGGAACCACCGCCAAGTACCCACCTTTATGCTGCCCATCACTGAAATCACCCACCTTGTGCCCAGAAAAAGACATCTTTGGTGGAAGTTCCGAACTTTCTGTGGTTTGTTGCTGAAGGGTATCTTGCATTTTCCCTACCGAAGAAGGATTCGAAAACTGTGCGTATGTGGTTTTTTGAAGACGTGGATTTTGGTTTGATTTGAAAGTGGGGATTTTATATTTGAAGGGAAGAAGAAGAGGTTTGATCGAGTTTTGTGCTTTGGGGTTTGGAATCCTTGACCGGTTGGAAGACTTGGCAATGGGAATTGTTTTGTTGGTTGGGAAAGTGTATAATATAAATGAAATGAGTCGGAGTAAGTGACCAAAATGTTTGATTTGACCAATACATATGAGGCGTGTGTATGGTTTAGAATTTGGTCAATTTACAAGTGCGTGCACACATATTTGAAATTGGAAGTTTTGAAATGGAAAAAATAAAAGTAATTGTGTAATTGGGTAGGAGTTGTTTGGCACGCTTTGGAGCTGGAGGCAGTGAGAAGAAGTTTGAGAAAAGGGTTGTTAATAACTGGCACTGGGCCACCAAGCCCACTTGACATTGATGGAGGCCACATGGAGATAAAAGATTAATTATAATGGAGGAGAATCAGCTTCCACGTATCATATATCTATCTCTCACAGACCAATTTTTGATCACAAAATGAGCCATACAGCTAAATCCCATCACAGAAGCTTAGTTGGCTAATTCTTGTGCACATTTGGTCCTGCTTTGGAAAACCAACACCTTATTTGCTTATTCTTCTTCTCTCTTTTTGTATCCAACCCATGCCACCTACTTCTGTTCTGGCTCCTTATTAAGAACTTCTATATTCTTCTTATTATTACTTTCTGCATTCAGACCTTTCCTTGAGTAATAATCAAAGATAAGTTAACACAATCTTTTCTCATAGTTCTTTTTTCTTATGATTGTTTAATGTGATCAAATACTTTTAAGATACGTTTGATAATTTGTTCAACAGTGGTGGAAGATTTTAATATTATAAATATATTTATGTGACTTTGTTAGAGAGTCAGGTATGAATTTGGGAGTGTCACAATAGTTGTATATTAAAATTAGGAGTGCCACAGCACTTGCAGATGATGAAGATAAATAAAACATTACATAGTCTTAAATTCATTTTGGGTCAATATTTTACATAAATTAGCTTATGTAATTTACTTGATAAATCACAAAATTCACCAATACATTCAACATGACTTAGATTCACATGTTGAGTTATTTCTATTATATTCATCATAACTTGTTAGTTTTTGTTTTATTTTTAGTTAACTAAAATATTAAGGATGTATACTTAAAGTTTTTTTTTTCTATTTTTCATTTTTTAATTGTATTCTTTTGTTTTTTATATATTCACATAGGAAATATTAAAAAGAATTACTTTTTGTTTTCTTTTCCATGTAAGAATATATTAACACAAACTTGGCTTATCATGCTGCCTATTTATGTCTGATCTATAGGAAACAAACATACAAAATGACCGATGACATACTTGTAATTAATTGTTCAATATTTACGTATGTTGCCATAATAATAGATGTAATTATCAAAATTTACATCTAACCAGGGCGACAAAATTTACGGCTATTGCTTCTTGGTTGGACAAAAATATTGTTACTAGGACAACAAATGTAAATATTGAGTTTTCTAAATCCTTGAATGCTTCACTCTTATAGCCGTGTGCAAGAAGTTTTTAACCAAAACCCACACCTTGTAGACAAAGAGGCAACCAAGAGCAACGACAACCAAGGTGTTTCCACCAAACTATAGTGGCAATGCGAACCACAATGGTGTTTCTACTCAACAACAGTAGAGGCGACACAAACCATAATCGTGTCTCCACCTAATTGACGCGAAGTGAACTGGTATTTCTCCATTTCGCTACCAAAAGCTTGGTTCTTTCTCTCCAAATATTTTTATGCATTAATGTTAGTTTTACATCCTCTATCCCTAAAGTGTAGGCGCGTGATTATTTTTAAGGGAAATAAGTCATTGTTTTGCAAGAATGTTCTCTTTATTTGTCTTTAATGTGAATTTCAAAAAAACTGATTTATATTAGATGTTTTATGTTTGGTAATTTGAGGTTTACAAGATGAAGAAGAAGAACGAAAAGAAAAAGAAGAAGGATAAGGAGAAAAAAGAAGAAGAGGAAGAAGAAGAAGACAAAGTAGAACAAGGAGAAGGAGAAGGAGAAGAAGAAGAAGAATAACACGAAGAAGGAAAAGAAGAAAAAATTTGGTACAACTTTGAGAAAAAAATAAAAAGAATTTATGTTATTGCTTTTATAGCAAACATACATTCACATATGTTATAAAGGTAATAATGTAAATTTACATATCCAGCAATTATGTTTGACTTATAACAGAAGTAAAAAGTCTAATATAAAATACGTAAAATGTTTTTTTGTGTTAATGATAATTGTAAATTGTTAACTAATTGGCAAGTGTACTAATTTGTTGCAACTAGTAAATGGTAATTTCAACTATTGTTTTTCCAAAGGATTTGTGTTTGGTTGTCTAATTATGCTAAGTTACAAATTATGGTTTGGATAGAAATCAATATTGACATCATAATGGATTAAAACAAGTTGCAAACATAAAAAATTCTATAAATGGTAAAGTGATTCAATAAGAACTTCATTAAGATTGGATTTCATAAATCAAATGATGCAAATAATCTATACAAATTATCTCTATTTCATTCAAATGTTCATATCATAAGCTTACAAGTTCTATTTCCTTAGGAACAAGTTTTAAATCAATATGCTAAATTACTAATTCCTTAGTTCATTTAACATTCAATTTATATTAAGTTTAGATGTCTAAAATGACCAAAAGAACTTGAACCCATTCCTAGAATCAATTCTCTTACGTGCTTTTTCTGTATCCATGTTCTAATTCACTTTCTAGTAAATAGAAATATATAGAAGTATAAAATTTCCAAACATAAACATTAAATACAAGATAAAGCATATGAATGAACATAGATTCTATTGCACATGAACTTTACATCAATTTAAGTACATTATATCTAATCCTAATGAAAATAGAGTTTAACTACTCTTAGCCATCTAAACATACAAGTTTAATGGAAGCACAACGTCTTGATGCACTTGGAGTAACCTCTTACCAGTTTCTTGAGTTTCTTTGTGTTCCCACACTTTATAACTACCTTCTCTCGCTAATTCACGACATAATAACCACTTTCAAAAATTTCACTCTCACTAAGCGAGAGAACACATACTCTGGGTGAAAAATCAACTTTTGATTTACTTTTAACTGCTCTATCTCGCTAAGCAATCTTCTTCACTGAGCGAATAGATTGTGGCTGAGCGAAAAGGATCTTGATAGCAAACTCCAAAACTCTTCAAATATTCATTTTCCTGCACAATATTCTACAAAAGACAAAATGACATTTAACTTAAACTAAACATAAAAATATTACATCTTCTCATAAGGAAAACACCAAATACATGAATAAATACAAAATTAAGTTAAGAAATAAGCATGAATAATAAGTATTAATCACACTTATCACAAATAAGAGAAAGACTTTTTTTTGTTAGTGATAATTACAAATAGGTGAAAACGTCATGCTTTATATTATCTTGACTCTACTAATATTTAACTTACATTGAAGAAGATATTAGATGGTGAGAGTTTATGGAAGTTCTTGTGTTTTGGAGGGGTTGTATGAAAAAAGGTTATTTCCCGAAAATGATATATGAATT